TAAATATTAGATCATAGAGAAAACGTAATAATAGAATAGTAAAATGGCAATAGTAAAGATATAGAAGGATAATTTTGTACATACATACCTTATATTATTATTGTACTCAAGTCTAACCATAAATTCCAGTTTGGCTCATTCTTAATTAGCACTACATAAAACTTCCTTTTGTTTAGCCCTAAAACTCAGGTCCCACTCTACAAGATTACCCTTTCATCTGTGCAAAAAAAAAGAGTTTGTGATGAAGCAATGTGCAATGGTAAGCCTACCTGTCCACAGCCAAGAAAGATGGTGGCACCCATTGAGGCAATTGCTGACAGTTTTCACACACGTTTCTCTCATCAGCTCGTGAACTTGATCAAACGATTGCCTTGCGTCCACAATCTGTTCAATATCTTCAAAACTCGCCACAAAACAAAAGTCGGACGCACCTTCCATCTTTTACCCTGCAGACCTTTGTACTGTAAGGCAACTTTTTTCTGAAAATCCAGCTGCTCATAGCGCTCATCTCCATATCCACCGCGCACAGCAGCTTCCTAAACAAAAAGTAACGAAAGAGCTGCTTTATAGAATGTAGAGTACCTCTGGCGAAATATCTAGGTACAAGACCAGATCTGCAGCAGGAAGTCCGACCTCGGGAGCCTGTCCAGGGGCTCTTAGTTAAACGCTAAAAGTTAGGCAATGATTTTCACCTTGCACCACTCAAGATCCAGTCCCTTCGCAGCAGAGAAAGCCACTCCTGAGTACGAATATCGATCTACTACCAACGTTGTCCCAGCCATCAATTTCCTTTCCATCTGCAGCCTGTGAGAAAACAAGATGAGCTGTTCTCAAGAAATAATCAAGAAATACTTCCAAGTCATACCTCTTCTCCCAGCGGTTTGCTGAAAACAGAAGGTGCACAGCACGATCATCAAGCTCAGCCCCGCCTCCCAAGTAAGCCGAAATCGAGCTACCGATGGCAGTTGTCCTGTCTGGAAACCGCCAAGCCTCCACCTTCAGCCCAGTGCCCTTCAAAAACTCAACCAGCCTGTGGCACTGAGAGCTCTTCCCGCTTCTGTCCAGACCCTCCAAGACAATGAGCGCCCCGCGCTTCTCTGCTCCCATTGCAAGCTGCATAAACCCTAACGGCTTGGAGTCACTCCTCCATCAAGTCGACATGGCCCTGCTTCTGCTTCATCACCTCGTTGAGGCTGTCCACCATTCCCTGTCGTTGAGGTTCCATAGCAGGCGCATGGCTGAGCAGCTCCAGGGCAATGTTCATCCACTGTTCTGCTCCTGGAAGTCGGGAAAGCTTGACTTGCAACGCTGCTCTGTTCCAAGCAGTCGAGACCAGCCACTGGATTTCCTCGGACGGATAGACTCCATTCTGAAGTCCCAAGAGCATGTGCTTCGCTTCTCTGTACAGCTTCAGCACCTCCGGTCCATCCTTGTTCCGCTGGTCAGAAAGCACTATGAGCTTCCTCATGATTATTGCTGCTCGCTTGTAGTCTGGAGCTGCGGAGCTGAGCAGCAGGTTCAGGCAGGACTTGAAAGCTGCTATCGGAACTTCGGTGTTGCTTCCGTCTCCGTTACATGCATGCATCGCCATCTTGAAAAAGTAATCTGGCTTGAATCCAGGCAAGCTTGCGCAACGGTACATAATCTCTAGCTGCTCCTTGTACTCCTTCATCTTGCCTTTGAGATCAAATGCCAAAAGGTTCATGTAGAAGTCGGTGCTTGCAAAAGTTGGCGACTTGAGCAAGAGAGAAGCATGCACCTGCGAAGGCAATGTCAGCAACTAGCTAAACTGCTCGACTTAGGAATACATTACCTTGCGACACTTCTCCATGTAGACCGTTGCCAGTTTCAGCTTCTCTGTATCGGACTCGTTGCATATCATGAGCAACGCAGCGACGGTCAGAAGTAGCGATGTCTCTAGTGACTGCAAATTTTCTGCCGTATCTGAAAGCAACGCATAAAAGTCCGAAGCACAGGCAAAAAGCTCTTCACAAGTTTTCCAGTCCTGAGTCTTTGCAGCAGCCAATCCCTGGTTCCATGCGCACCCAGCAAACCAGCTCGCTTCTTTCTCTGCGCTGCTTCCGGATCCAAGGAAAGTTTCAGCTCCTGTTTCCAGGAGACGCTGCCGTGCCTGCTTCAAGTATTTCACTGCCTCGTCCTGACACTTCAGATCTTGCAAAGCGAGAAAAATCAAGTTCCTGAAGACGGTCACCTCTTTAGTGCCTGCTGGAGGTCGAGAATTGGACGAGATCATGACCAACATGTTCGACAAAGCAGAGACCGCAACCTTAATGTTCTTGCATGCCACAGCTTCATGTGATGCCAGTGTCAGATATTCTGGTTCGAAATCTGCGCATTTTATCATCTTGCTCACTTGATTCGCTGCTCCGACTTCGTCATTTATTTGTAGACATATCTTGAACTGCAAGTTTACAGATCGATGTAGTTAGCTTGCTAGCTCAAACAAGCGACTTACCTTCAGAAAACTGCACGACACGTTCGGTTCAAGCTACAAAGAACAAAGAAAGATCCTCAGTCATAAGACCAACAATAAACCAAAAATCACCTTTTCAGCTGCATCAACGTATTCAGCAGCTCTGTCATACTGCAAGAGGCCAAGATAGCAGAGACATAAAACACGCAATGCCTTCGCTCTCATGGTAGTTTCCTCTTCCGCAGGCAGATAATGCATGGCAGCCTCGAACAATCTGATGGCTGTAGGATAGTCCTTCGCCTGGAAGAAATCCGAGCCACTATTACAAAACACACCACAAGTCAGCTCCAATATAACGGTGAAAAAACACTTGCCAGTTCCAGAGAAGCGCATGCATGGACTCCAGCTCCTTCCGGCAATGCAGCAACGGGTTGTGCAGTCTCGGCCCAGCACAAGCACTGAATCTCTTCAACACTCTGTCGTCCGTCGCGATTGACAAGGCCACCTCCACTCTCTTCCGGCTCATAGGATCAGCCGGTGACGCTTGCTTCAGCAACTTCTCAATTATGCTCGCGCAGACATCGGTTGTGGATGAAAACCTCGAAAGCAAAACGAAGAACGCTTTCTTTGCAACGTCCAGCTGCTGCGTCGTCTCTTCGATCAAGAACGTCAAAGCGGAGAGGCACACCTCCACCGCAGCCTTGTCATGAGATATGAGCGCTATAAGCTCCTCCTCGGCCTCTTCGAAGCGACTGAGACCAAGCAAAGCCTTGAACGCCAGGAACGACGTGCTAGGATGATCCGAGGAGCCTTTGAGAACCGAAACGCACTTGAGAACTCCCTCGAAGTTCCCGTTCTGGAGCTGCCCAGCGGCAATGTACCTGAGAATTGTGAGCTTCTGGCTTGTGACAGTTTGCTCCTCGCTCTTGCTCTTGCATGATCCCTTGAGCGCCTCGGAGCAAATCTCATACGCTTGCTCCACGTACTTGACGGACTCCGCCTTTGATTCCGAGTCCTGGAGCGCCAGGAGTGATTTCCCGTAGAGAAGATACACGTCCGCCAGCTCTTGATACCTCTCCAGGGAGTCTTGGAGAAAACCACGGGCCCTCCCTAGCAAACTGGAAGCCAGCGCCTTGTGAGACATCTCCCACGCTGTTCTCGACCGCGCAAGGCACAGATCAAACATGAACTGCTGCTCTTCCCTGGTGCCGATCGATGAGAAGACGTTGTCTCTGGAGACGATCTCGGTGGCTCGCTCGAAGCAGCCGGCCGCCGATTTGTAGTTCCGGATCTTGTGCCAGGTCGTGCCCGATCGAAGGAAGAATGTGGCCATCTTGAGAGTGCTCGACCGGATGGATCCAACGGCACCGGCCAAGAAAAGCATCTCGCTAGCGATCTGACGAAGCCGCGCGTGGTATTCCGCCGAGGAATCCACCGCTGCGCGGCCTGGCGGCTGCTGCTGCTGGATGCTGTTGGCGATATCCACGCAAGTGTTCCAAATCCGGTAGCTCAGCTTCCAGATTTGCAGCCGCTGCTCCTCGGAGAGCTCGGACTTGAGGCCGAGCACGCATTCTTGGAGCTCTTCGACAGTGTCGACACCGATTCCCGGAGACGCCTGCTCGATGTCGCAAACCAGGCGCTCGATTCTCCGCAGCGGATTCACTGTAGCCACATTGCCGATCCCTGGATCACTAAGTACCTCCGAGATGAGCATCGTGAGAGCAAGCGATCGTCGCGTCCACGCAGCCCTAGAATATTTTCCCGCTCAACTTTGAATACAGTGTACCATAAGCCCTAACACTTTCCCGCCAAAACTCTTTCTAGGGCTCTTGGCGAGGAGGGCATCGATCGGTGCGCCATGGAACAGCAATGCAGGCGTCGTGGCCAGCATGGAAGGTATGGAATCTCTCTGAGTGGCCGCTTCACAGCTTTCAATGGGGACTTTGATCTAATCTCCGTGGATTTCTTTTTTCTCGATGTAGACTTTTGTGTCATGTAGCCAACGCGTCCTCAAGCCTTGGCAGAGTGTGAGCTTGGCACTGTTTGAGCAAGATTTTCCGTGAAAGGTAGACGCGACTAGAGTAAAACTCGTGCTTGAGTCTTCTTTTCTTCGCTTAAAAAACTCCCATCTTTTATATGGTTGTTGATTCTGTGATAATGGATCCTTCTTGTGATGTAGCAGCTCGAGAGGACGGATCCCGAGAGCTGCCTCAGCGTCATGTCGAGGGGGAAATTCCCAATTCGTCTTCGCCACCGTTTCTCTACCTTCTGCGGAGGAGGGAGTATCGACATGCTCTCTTCAGTGGCATCGTCACACTCACACTCAGCATCATGGGAGGGTAAAGTTTCATCTCTAGCTTTGTTTTTTTTCCTTCCTCCTGACTTTGAATTTTTTTTTTCTTCGGCTTGCAGAGCGGTCCTGCCCGTGTCAAATGCATTCACTACCACGGGAATTGTCTGCGGCTTCCTGATAATGCTTGTTGTGGCCTTGGCAAATACTTACACTTGTGATCTGCTGCTCAGACAAGCTTATTGTACTGGAGCTCTCAACTATGAGTCTCTTGCTTTCCACATTGGTGGGAAGTGGTGGAAGGTTCTATCTTTTTTTTCTTTTTTTTGGTTTTTCTAAGTTTCTAAAAGCCCTCTCTCTCTCTCTCTCTTCTCTTTGCACAGCTTGCTACCGAAATTAGCATAGTGGTTCTGCTCATTGGGACCATTATAGGCAACATTCAACAAGTCAGTGAAGCTGCTGTCATCGGCATTGAAAACATCACTTCCAATGCTCCTTCCTGGCTAACAGGTAGCGGGCGCGTGCTTATGATCCTGTCCGTCGTCTTCATTGTCGCTCCAATTTGCTTGGTGGAAAAAATGAGACAGGTGTGACTTTGACTTTGTTCTTCCTTCTGATTTAACTTCTCCAATGCAGCTCGAATTCTTTGCAACTGTAGGAACATCGATTGTCATCTGGCTGCTCGTGGTAATTGTCATAGATGCTATCAGGTTCAAGCTGCCTGCGGTGAAAAACGGAGAGCTTGCTGCAGTCGGGTTTACAAGTATAGGCAAGTTTTGATTGCTTTTTTTTTTTTTTTTTGTTTAACTGAGACATATCGGTGGATGCAGGCTCAATCACTCAAGCTATTTCAACATTTGGTTTTGCATTTTACGTACAGCCAATGATGATGCCCTTCCTTGCTGAAATGCCCGCTGGTAAAGTTGGTGTGAAGCTGACCTCATACTCGGTTCGTGTAGTTATTCTCGGTGAGTTCTCGGTGAGCATAAAGATGCTCCTTGTGTTTATGTTTCACTTCAAGCGAGCTACGTGCAGGAACTTCATTCTTCATTTACGGCACTATTGGATTCTTCGGCGCGGCAAGATACGGGAGCCTTACGTCCGAAAACATACTGGAAAACAAATGGCTTGGCGGTGGTGTACCACAAGGATCACTCAACTTAGCAATGGCGGGTATGAGCCTTGGAAGCTTCGATAATTTACTTATTGGATGCCGCTCTTTGACAGTATACCTTGCTTTTGCAATTCCAACTGTAGAGTTTCCGACTCGCTACACAATCAACCGTTGGATTCCTGGCGATAAGAAGCAGAATCGCTTCTTACGTCATTTGTGTATATCAGCTGGAATCCTTGTTTTCTGCACAGGCATCAGCCTCATATCGCCTAACAATTCGGGCGCCATCATCACAATTACAGGGGCGACTGGAGTTTCCATGGTTTCGTATACCATTCCCGTAGTAAACCATTTCTTGCTGTTCTTCCAAAGGTATGTTTTTGTTTACAGAGTACAGTGTTAAGTTCTCTTTGCAGAGCAAAATGTCAGAAGCAGGCTGATGGAATAGGAAGTGTTTTGAAGTATAGAAAGGACACCTGGTATTCAACCGTGCAGGAATACGCCAAAGAGTTGGTGCTTCCTGCTTTTGTTATTGTCGTTGGTATCTTCTGCAGCATTGCAGCTCTAACCACACTGTAAAACTTTATTCGTCAACAAATGTAAGCAACTGTTACATTTCCGTCCTGACATTGCTTCTTTTTCTTTTTTTTTAACCTTACTCTCGAGCTCTCGGAATCACTGGCAATCCATTCTTGATGGCGAGTGTCATGTTGATACTGTACCGGGGCTCTGTGTCGGATGCCATCTCGAACTTGAACTTTGGCAACATAGCAGCTACCAGAGACTTCATTTGCAGCATAGCCATTTCCTTTCCGATACATATTCTTGGCCCTGCCTGAAATGCTGTGAACTTATACGGACTCTCGTTCACAAAACTTCCAGTGCTGCTTAGCCACCTTTCTGGCTTGAACTCTAGACAATCCTTCCCCCATAGGCTCTCCATTCGTCCCATTGCATAGATCTGGTACGTGACCCTCGTTCCTTTCTCTATCCTGCTCCCATCTGGTAGTACGTCGGGGCCTTTGGCACCTTTGCTGTCGAACGGAACTGCTGGATAGAGCCTTAAGGATTCCGATAACGCTGCCTGGAGATAGTTCATCTCTCGGAGCTCGCTGTAGGAGAAGTGTTTCATCCTTCGACCAGGTTCGTGATTTCTTTCAGCAACGTCGACTATCTCCTGGATGATTTTGTTCTCTACTTTGGGATGCTTTGACAGGAGCCAGAAGAACCACGACAATGTGACAGAAGTTGTGTCCTTGCCTGCCAGAACAAAGCTGATGATAATATCTCGTAGGAATTTGTCGGAGTACGAACTTCCCGTGTCCTCCATTTCGAGAGCCATGAACCGAGAAAGTAAGTCCTGGTTCTCTCGAGCTCCTGTTTTTTTTCTCCTGTTGTTTATCACCATAGCAGCAAACTCATTGACGATTGCCAGATATTCTTTCAGGTGCTTCTCGGAACCAAGGTTGAAGTACCTCTTGATCTTCCAGAGCAAGGGATGGACCTGGTAAAACCTTTCAGTACTCAGCCTCGTGGACTCGTCGAATGCTCGAGCAAACGCAATCGTGGGAAACGACGGATCCAAGGACATAGGATCGACTCCGAATGCGAGCTTGCAAATGCTGTCAAAGGCGAACCGCATGAACACGTCTTGCAAGTCGACTCGTTGGCCACAAATGCTTGCAATCGTTGGAAGCAGCCTCTTTTCAATCTTCTCGGCCACAGAATCCATGAGGTAGTCGTGTAGAGACCTGGTAGGAAACTCGTAACTCGCAAGTTTTCTCTGCAGCTTCCACAGGCCAGCGTCAGCGTTGAAGATGCCATCTCCAAGAAGATCTCTCAGCGTGTCGCACACATACTCTCCCTTTGGATAGTTGTCGAAATTGGTCTTGAGGATGTACTCTACGTTCTGAGCGTTGGACGTGAGCTTGAAAGGCTTCGCCCCCCATCGCTTCAACGTGATGGTGTGTCCGGGAGACTTGGCAAGGTACTCAGTAGTCCATTCGAGAATCCTGTCCTTGTTTTTAAGCAACTCAGGCATTGTTCCCAGAAGTGGGTACATTCTGGGAACAGTCTCACCATTCCCATGTCGATTTTTCAGATAGAACCAGGCGAAGAAACCAACACAGGAAATCAGCAAAGCAGCAGCTAAAGTACCTTGCTCCATATCTCGCTGCCGCAGCACCGAAATCTAAGCGTCTCCTCGCCTCCTCTCGATAGTTTTTCGCAAAACAAGAAACTCTTGGTTTTCTTTGGAAGTTGACTCATGTAGATGGGGCCGGCAAATGCGGCATATGCTTCGTACTTTTGTTTTCCCTTTTCTCTCTCTAACTTCTACTGTTTGTTTGCAGGCTGGGCGCGCTTGTGGCGTGTTCTAATGTTTGCGACCAATTTACAACGTGACTTTTTCTACGAGCGTCGCAAACGTCTTACCTCATTTGCATGTAAATATGGCGTAGCGATCTCTCATCTCTATCTGAAGTACGTAGAGGAGGCTATATGCTTGTGTTGATCAAATTACAGAGCTTGCAGTCAATGTCGATCCCACGGGTGTGTTGAGTGTGCTAGTCCTTGGGCTTTCCAAATCTGCCATTGAAGTGCAGCGAGTTGGAGACCGAAGTATGAGGTCTGCTGGGTGAATTGAACCCATATTCTGCTGCTGAGGGCTCTCTGAGCTCCTCACAAGTGGATGCCTGGTTGAACGTCCTTAAAACCAAGGTTGAAGAGGCTAGACCTCTTAGTCCATTCTAGATTTCCCAAAGAGGTTGGTTGTTCTCTTGGGAAAGGAAGGCAGCATGAAGTTGTTCACAGTCCATGCATTCCCAAACCAAAAACTTGCTCGAGTTCAAGTGAGCATATGCAACCCGTATAATTAGGTTTGTTTATAAAATTAGAATACAAAACTAATAATGGTTAAAATAATGTTTTGATGTTCATTCTAGTCTTTTGATCTTGGAGATGTTAAACATGGACTTGGATAAAGAAAATTATTTTCAAATGCCCAATGATAACCACAATCGTTTGTAACATTTTTTATTCTTAGTTCAATATTATTTGGTTGAATATGATCGGTTTGGAACTATGGATGAAAAGGTATATGAGGTGGACGAAATAATTGCTCATGTTTTTGGATTCCATGCAAGACTGCATAAGGGGGAACATGCAATGACATTTCGCTCCACATATGGTTTTTTATAATCTATAGCTTAACACCCTAAACTTTTGGAACCACGTCATATGGTTCCGATTCAATTGTATGAAGGGAAAATGTTCGGACAGTACTTCTATATTTATATCCATGTATGTGCGGGCATTGAACACACTCTGCTTGGGCATCTTCAGCAAAGCTGGAGGCTATGTAGAATAAAAACCAGCCCCAGGTCTCAATTGTCCATTATCATTTGAGATATGATCATTTAAAATTATGAAACTTGATTTTTTGTTAGGAGGACAATCTACTCATTCCATGCATGTTAGTTCCACCACCATTGGTGTCCTAGCTCTCAACAAGTTTGCCCGGTGCTAGGGTCTTGACAACCTCACATGGTGCTGAAGTATCCTTGACCTGAGCTGCACTATCAACTGGATCAACTGCTTCTGATGTGTGCTCCCTCTCCACAACAGCTGTCTCATTTGCAATTGCCTCCACATCCTGAGATGGCACCACCATGAGCAGCTGCAAAGGCTCAGCCACTGTAGTTGGTGGATGCTACTCCCCAACTTCCTCATCTTCGTCAGCTATAGCAGTGGGAAAGGCCCACACATGCATGTACCAAGAATGTGGAGTGTTGGTCATTTATTTGGAGGCTTGATTAATGTCATAGTCTTGCCACTCCTTGTGTCCTCCAAGAAATTCTAATTTGGGCATTCCTCACCCCTCCTTTGGATCAAATCTTAATTCAATCCACCTTCAAGCCCAAGATCAAGTGTTGTGATGCATGTTGCTTTTGAGCTTATACAGAATGCAATTGTAAATCTTCATTCCTTGCCCTCCCCATAGTAGCCTCATTGTCTATCTTGCAAAGAACCAAGAGCAAACAAACTATAATGTACCACTATTCCGGCATATTCACTCTGTGCTTTTGCCATCCAAACCTTGCAACGCCCACGCTTTAAACAAAAGGAACTTGGAATATGGATGGATATATGAAATCACAAAACGTACCAACGTCAAGGTCTCATGAAGGTGCATCTACATCATGTTGTCACTGAAAAGCCTTGCAAAGCGCTTGCACTTATGACCACAAGCTTGGCAAGTTCCATCTCTAAAACACATGTATAAATGTTGTGAGAGCAAGCGCAAAGAAAATAAAGAGACATTAGATAAATTTGTACCTGTGAGCTCATTTACCATGCTCATAATGTTCTTGCAATGCAAACACAAGGCTCTTGCACTCACTGGAAACCAAGAATAAAATAAATAAATAAATAAACAGAAAAGCACAAACAAACAACAGAAGAAAAAGACTTGATCAACTGATTGAAAGCAAAACAAAGGAAAGCAAAAATAGCAAAATGAATCTATATGCAACCGCCACACACTCAAAATCCCATTAAAAACACTACCTCTCATTGGAAAATATGTTATATCATCCAATATAAACACATGGATTAATCTCAAAATATATCCCGAAAATCATACCCATGCTCCAACAAATGACCATGGGAGGATGCCCAAGCTCTGACGTGGCAAGAACCTATGGTTTGCAAGCTAGAAATAAAAGGTGAAATCTTGTAAGTAAATAAAGGACAAAGGATAGATGATGAAAAGTATGATTATAAAGAGAAATGAAAAAGGAAAATGGAAAAAGAAATAGAAACAAAGTGTGGAGTTTGAAAACTTTAGGAAAAAACTAATGAAAGACCCGAAAGGTTAAGAGAGAATTTTAATTTAAGGGTTTGGGCTAATTAATATCCATACAATGTTAATTTTTTAAAAGTTATTTAAACCATATTTGTTTTGCTAGTTAAATCTATGTAAAGGCTAAACTTTTCAACATTATAATGTATACATATTATTATTGCTTCTTTAAAGAAATATAAGAGTTCATGAGTAAAATCAATATTCTTTAGGCATTAAAGCTCTTGGCGAAGTCAAAATTTGGTTAGCTATAAAGTTTTGCTAAAAATTGAAGTATAAACAATAATTTAACCAAATGGAAAGTGAGCAATAATTCTATTACTAATTTGTATTTTGTAAAAACAAAAGGACTTCTCCTTCTTCTTATCCAAGTGCGTCTGGGCAACGAGGTAGCGCTAGTCTGCTTAGTAGTCCTTTTCGCATGATTATCTCAATCAATATGTTGTTCAAGTGTTATAGTTGATCTGCCAACTATGTCTCTGAAGTTCAAGAAATCAAAAAACAGAAACAGCAAGCATGCAACTACTGTCAGGATTGCCATTCAACGTCGGTGTTTCCATTCACTTCTTCATGCCAAAGCCACCGAAGCCCATTGCTTGAGCAACCTCAGGATCGTCTACCTCTCCTCCTGCGTCCTCCAAAGCTTTCTCCCTCTGCTAGCAAAGCTAAGTGGAGCAGGAAAACAAAGCACTTGGACACAAACCTTCTTCTCTTTTTTCCTTTCTTTTCGTTGCCTCTTGCGCTCCTCTTCTTCCCGTTGCTGTTTTAGCATTCGCATCTCGAACTCTGGCACAAAGAAAAAAGCCTTGAAAGGTAACAACGGATAGACATTTCATACGTGCCTTCGTCCGTCAGTCCTCCCTCGGCTTTTTTCCTCTTGACAGTTTCGAAGCGAGTTTGGACCTGGTGATAGCGTTGGGTTTGCACGAAAAGATCTCTGAATGAATCCTCTACTCACCTGTTCTAAAGTGGACCGCTCAACACGCATAGACATTCCCAGAGCCTTTTGATCTTCAGAGAACAACGTAAGCTATCGTCACGCAAAACCGAGACTTTGAAGACTAGCTTACGTTTCTTCCCGTTTATGTGATCCAAGTAGTTTGCGGAGTCCTTGACAATGCAGTTGCAAACACTGCAAAAGTAGCCTGCCTGCCAACGAGTGCCATGAAAATCACTAAGAATTTGCAAAAATCTACCTGTTGATCCAAGGGAGCGACTTGAGTAATCACCTGCGAGAAAACGAAAAGAGTGGAAAGGTGACAGGACGAGAAAAAATGTTTTGGCTTACTTGAGTTTTTCCCAGACGAGCAGTAAGGTCCACTTCAAAATCCCGGTGCTTCAAAGGCTTCTTCTCACCAGGAGGTGAATCATCTCTCGCTGGAGAAAGAAAGTTTAGAACGATCGATCGACCAAACAATTTACTCACAGCTGTTTCGGCGAGCCTGCTGATCCACCTCCTGCGAAAACCATCCTTAAAACACCCAGTATTAAGAGAAAGAGGAGCTCTCTATGAAACTTACGCGCTTGCGAGCGCGCTCAAGAAATTCCTGGCGATCCCATTTGCGCCGAGACGTATTGTCGACACCGCTAGCCTGCAAGCAAGAAGTGTGATCGATCGAGAGTAGAATCATCGCGGCTGGATCACTTACCGACGCCATTGCCGCCAATGACCTAGCTCAAGAACCCTAAAAACAAAATTCTCTCTTTGGGTTTCTTGCTGGCTATGGCGCTTGTGGGCGCCTTCAGGGCATCACGGGCGCTACGGGCGCTGGCGGGGAGATCGGCGGCGGGCGGCCTGGACTGGAAGGAGATGGACCACTGGATCGATTACTGGAGCTTCTCGCCAGATGTGAAGACTGAGCTTCTGAAGCTCAAGCATCACATCACGGAGACGGCGCATCGCATGGACGCATTGTTTATCAAGGTATGCTCCTTGTACATTGTAGATTGAGGGATTGCAAGAGAGGATTTGGATTTTGCCAGAGCTTTTGACAGATTTTCTTTCTTTTCTTGCGCTCTCTCTCGGCAGGAGAAGCATGTAATCGACTGGGAGGCTCACAGGAAGGTCTTGCCTGCTGAAGTTGTGGATCTTTACCAGAAGACTTACGAGAGTAAGGAGAATTTTTATTTCTTTCTCGTTTGAGGGACAGAAAAGTAGATTTTTTCTTTTCCTTTGGCATTCAAGCTACTCACTTGTTTTTGATCTTTCTTCTTCAGGCATAGAAGTTCCAAAGTATGTGGACGAAGATCGAGAGGAGGCCATCAAGATGTTTGCCGACCTTGTAAGTTCTCAACTTCTCAAGTTCTTTTAGAAGTTCATGGCTCGATCGCTCGCAGGAACAGAAGGCTATCAAAGCTGACGAAGAGTTTGCTGCCGCGAGAGCAAAGCTGGAGGAAGAAGAGGAGAAGATCAGAAAGTTCAAGGTGCGTTGTTTTCACTCTCGTTTCGAGGATTCCAATCCATTCTTCTCTTTTCCAGGAGAGGTTACCGACGATCACAGTCGACGAGGTACTGGCCGAGCACCCAGACATCAAAGAAAAGATCGACGCAGAGATCCGGGCTCTCAACTGGGACTACGCGCCGCTGGGAAGCAAAGAAATAGCCAAGTGAAGCAAAAGGGATGATCGATCCATCAAGAAGAATCTCTGGAACCCATCGCTCGATAGTTTGCAGAGATCGCGAGCCGAGAGAAGCGAGATAAAGACGAAGATAAAATGGAACCAAAAAATAAGCTCTGGACACGTCAGTGCCACGTTGGCCAATCTTTTTTTGACGCGCCAGCATTTAGCTGATTATGTGAACACGTCAGCGCCTAGGTGGACGCTTTGATTCCTGGAGTAGGGCTTAGCTCAAATGGAATAGCCGCGCGGCGGGGCTGGCTATGGCGGGCATGAGCGATGTCGCTGTGGCGCTCGGAATCTCGGTGCCGGTGCTCAGATTTCTCGTCTTCTTCTTCTCCACGATTCCAATCGGCTGGCTATGGCGCCTCATGCCCAACCCTACGGCGCGGCATCTCTACTCGGCGATCACAGGGATGCTCGTCTCGCATCTGGCATTCGGCCCCGGCGCCAATGCGCTCTTCGTTTTCCCCGTCGTCGTCACGTACGCTAGCATGGTAATCCATCGCCCGAGCTGTGGGATCGTGAGCTTCGTCCTGGATTTCGCATTCCTTATTTCCTGGTAAGAAATTCTCTCGTATTTCGTGTAGCTCATCTTTCCTGGCGCAGCCACGTCTACTACATGAGTGGCGATGCGTGGAAGGAGGGAGGCATCGATTCGACTGGTAAGCCAAGTTTTGCTATATCCTGGCATATCACTCGATCGAATTTGTTTTCTCCTCTCTTTGTGCTGTGAATTCTCCAGGAGCTTTGATGGTGCTCACGCTCAAGCTCGTCTCCTGCGCAATGTGCTACCAGGATGGGCTTCTCGAGGAGGAGAAGCTGCGAAGAACACAAAAGCGCAACCGGCTCGTGCGACGTCCCTCAGTGCTCGAGTATCTCGGCTACTGCTTTTGCTGTGGAACACACTTGGCTGGGCCGGTCTATGAGATGAAAGACTACATCGACTGGAGCGAAGAACAAGGGGTGAGTGAGAGCTTTCCTTCCTCTTAAGTTCTCCCTCTAACCATTTCTTCTTTCCAGCTATGGAAGTTTTCCGAAGGAAACGCACCATCGCCATACCGCGACACTCTCCGAGTTCTACTCAAGGCCCTCTTTTGCATGGGCATGTACATGCTGCTCATCCCTCGCGTCCGCTTCACGCGAATCCTCGAGCCGGAGTTCATGCAGTGGAAATTCTGGGCGCGCTGGTTCTACATGTGGCTGTGTGGCTTCTCCGCGAGATGGAAGTACTACTTCATATGGTCCATCTCGGAGGCCTCGCTCATCATCTCCGGCCTGGGCTTTAGCGGCTGGTCCCGCTCCCAGCCCCCCAAGCCGCGTTGGGATCAAGCTCTCAACGTAGATATCCCGGGAGTGGAGCTCGCAGGCAGCGCCGCCGAGGTCCCGTCCAAGTGGAACATTCACATCAGCACCTGGTTAAGACATTGTACACTTGGTTTCCTTTCCCCTCGCTTGGCTCGCGCTTGTTCTAATCTGTGAGCTCTGCTAGATGTTTACGAGAGGCTGGTACCACCGGGGAAGAAGGCTGGCTTTCAGCAGCTGCTAGCAACTCAAGTTGTCAGCGCTGTGTGGCATGTAAGTAGAGTGATTTCATTCATCGATTCTTTGTTTCATCCTTTTTGCTTTCCTCCAGGGTCTCTATGCCGGGTATATCATGTTCTTCGTCCATACCGCTATTCTCATCTCTGGCTCGAGAAGTAATCCATTCTTTCTCGTGTTCTCGTCATGAGAATTCTTAAAAACCTTTCTCTGCAGCGCTATATAGATGGAAAAAGGCCATACCCGACCACCTCTCTTTCCTCCGGCCTCTAGCGTGGTTTCTAAACTTCGCTTACACGTTACTGGTTCTCAACTATGCCTGCATTGGATTCCTGGTACGTATGTTTCATCAAGCCTTCGCTTTCTTAGCAAAGTCCTTTTCTTCGTTTTAAACAGGTTTTAGACGCGAGGGACACATTCACTGCGTACAAAAGCGTCTATTTCGCTGGAACGCTTCTTCCAATCGCTTTGACAGCCATCGGGACGGTGATAAAACCTCGCAAAACTCGCGTCCAGTGATTTCTTCCAAAGTTAAAAGACTTAAGAGAGAGAACTATTTAAGTCCTTCTCCAAGGGCCTCATCAAGCAGCCATAGACCCAAATTATTTGTTTTTGTCTCCTTGATATTACATGGCTCATGACACTGTTCGTCCGTAACAAACAGCTGCTATATAGAGATTCTTAGCCCACTTATCCTGCGCAAACAATATCACCACGCAAAGCGATCAAAACCAAAGCTTTGAGCAAAAAAAAAAATCACACCACACCAACCTTTACGTGGCTGCTCGGGAAAGCCGATGTTCGCAGCGTTTCTTGCGTCTCATCCGATGGTTTCTTCCTTGGAACGCTCAACACGAATGCGGCCTGGTCCCATGTCGCGGCCGCGGATGTTATACGAAACCCGTGGTCCCATCTCCAGTGGATGCCTTCGCTCGGGTAGAGAAAGTCGAGCTCCACCACTTGCTCTGTGAACCCCGCGTTTCTCGACATCACCACGCCCCAGCGGTTGCCTGCCGTTGCCATGGACGTCACGTAGAATCCCTCCTTCCACTTCTTGTTGATCCACTTGAAGGGAAACGCGTCGCTGACCTTGTAAGATTGCTGCGTGTAGGACGTTCCCTTGGACATCACCACCAGCGAGCTACCGTTGTTGGCACCGGCGATTGCGCTGATGTAGTAGTTCTTCTCCCACTGCTCCATGATCCATTCCTTTGACAGGCAGCAGAGAAATGTGAGAAGCCTCGAAAAATTGTTTCGTCAAAAGTAGTACCTTGTGGAAAAACACTTGCGATAGCTCGTAGACTTGCGAACCGAATCCAGTTCCGGCGTCCATTATCAGCGCCCAGAGGTTCGTCGAAGAGGCAACGCTGCTGATGAACAACCCGTCTTGGTTGCCTTTTTCAACATGCTGTGCAAGGCGTGTGTCGGCTACGTTGTAGTGGTATCTTTGCTTCATCGGCTTGTGAGCATTGTAGACTGATATCCACTGCATTGCTGGCATGCCCAGACGAACTTTCTTCTTGGCACGATCCTCGTCGTCAGAAAAGTCCGCCAGCCTTCCGCGTTTATGACCGACCTACAATGTAAAAGATAATGTCAAACTCATCAGCTGTCTCGTTCTCTTCTTATCTTACCTTCGTTGCACATTCGGTGTTGATCGGCCGTTGGGCAGGCAGGCCCAATATGCTGTCAAAAAGCAAAATCAGCTTTGCATAGTTCGGCTCCTCGTTGAACTTCATACTGACAACGGCTTCAAGAAATTCCTTGAAGGGAGCCGGACAGAAACAACATAATGACTCTGGTGATGTTGCCATCTTCTTCTTGCAGACCAAGAAGCCTTTGTTATCACCCTGCACAACCCAAGCAGCCTTAGCTGCAGGCAATAATTTTAAAACCAAAGCCTCTAACCTGGTAACCTTGCCAAGGAAGACGACCCCGTAGTAAGAATATCAGCGTGTAGGCAAGAGATTCCAGATCGTCCCTTCTACTACCGGTTCTACCCAGGTGCGCATGGACACTTGCGTACCGAACAGTTCCCCTGAAACACAACTAAAACTTAGCCCGATCCACAGATACACAAGAGTGATACCTGAAAACATCAGGCCTCTGATCATAGTCTACGTGAGACCCCGTAGTACCGTCAAGCCATTTTGTAGCTGAATCATGACCATATTAGACATGAGAAACAACTATCTCACGTAACAAATTTTACCTAGGCCAAGATCCACGAGGTAGAGTTTCTTTTCATCTGGAGAACCCGGTCTACCAAGGAGAAAATTTTCCGGTTTCACATCTCCGTGAACATATCTGCATCGAAACATTAAATCTGCGAAAGCAACATTGTGCATTGCACACATACCCCTGCTCGTGCATTTTCTCCAGAATAGCTATTGCTTCGACAGCAATGCAAGCCACCATGTTGTTGGACATGCTGGAAACAAAAAGGAATCGGGAAAAAAAAGAGTTACATTCTTGAAGGGAAAGAAAAACACAGTTTACGTTTGACCGGTGGAGTTCCAAATGTCCCAAAGGCTAGGCCCAAGCATGTCCATTACCTAGAACAGTCACTTAAAACTTTCAGTAGAAGTAACACAGTGCAACTCTAACACCGACCATTATAAAGTAATCACCCTGGCGACCTTTGAAGTGCACCTTTGGTATCCCGTGTTTTCCTCCAAGGTTGCTATCAACCAAAACTTAGAAACTATAGAGAAAAGACTCATGGTAGAACTACTCACTCGTAAACCTGCCATTCGTAAGGAGGCCCGTAGTTGCAACCTTTGCTGCTCCTATGCTCGAACTTGAGAGCAACCTGCGCAAACGAGCGTTATAACACAATCAGCATAAGCAAAAAAAGAAGAGGAAACGCCACCGACCTCTACAGCATTTGGACCGGTTAGATCACCAGGCCCCAACTTCCGACCCACGTAAACTTGACCAAAGCCTCCTTTCCCCAGCTTCCTATCCGTCCTATAGACCGGAGAACCACCAACTTGTATCTGGAACAAGAGAAACCAAATTGCAAAGTTACATCCACATCCGATGGAAAAAAATCATACATTCTCCGGCAGTGGCGCTGTTGGAACCTCGTCGTCCGCAACGCCACCTCTAGCAGCAGCACTCCTCCCAGCGCTTTCCTCATCCATTGGAGCTCGCAACTCTTCTTCCACCCCGCGCTCTACGTTGAAGTCTGGAGAAGGAGCTGCAACCACAGGAGGAGGTGGAGGAGCCGCCTCGACCACTTTCTCTTTCGCCCTGCGCCTGTTATAAGCTCTAGCTTGCGTAGTAGGAGCTCCTAAAGCTGCCTGGCCTTCCCTTTCATCCAAGTTTAAATCCCTCACGCCCAATGCCGCGGCCTTGGCAGTGGCGGCCCTTGTTCTAACCGAGAGCGGCGTAGCTGATTTCCTCAGGGAAGCCCTCCGGCCGGAAGGACTGCCAGCGTCGCCGCCACCGTCAGTAGCATTGTTGCTCTTGTTGTTGCCGCCTTGGCGTGCTCCTCTACGGAGCTCTGGCATCCTTCACCCATGCAATAGCCTCTTAGTAAGATCATCACCTAGTACCCCATGCACTGTCCGCCAGAAGAAGAAAGGAAAAAAGGAGAAAAGAGAGAGTCGCGGCCTGGATTTCCAGCAGCAGCGCCTAAATCCTGCGATCCTACGCCCCGATCTCTAAACCCTAACCGATCTTCTCACCAAATGCTCTCCTCCAGCCACCACTTACCACCAGATTCAACGCGCCGATGCACACGAAACGCGGCTCCCCGGCGCCGGATCAAGCTGACCAGCCAGCAGCCGGGATCGATCGATCGCGCCCCGCGCCGCCCACGGCACCAAAAGAGGGCTTCTTCCCTTTCTCTCCCTATCGATCAAAGTAATATCACGGCGAAATGGGGTGCCCCTGGGACATCATCATCATCATCATGTACACATACATACACATAGCTAACGGCGGACATTCCGAGCTGGAATGGTCAGCCGGCCCCGGTGGTTTCCGTGCCACAATTGCGCACGCTGGACCTTCCGGCTTGGAAAGTCCGCCGGGACGTCCTTTACGCCCCCACTCTCTTTTAGGGTTCTTACGAGTAGCTGGGCAGCGCAGTAAAGAAATGGTATACCTCGTCGCTGTCGATCGCCCCGACTTCCACACTGCAAACAGCGCATCGCACGCGTCGCAGGGTCGGAGCGGCAGCGCCAGCGCCAGCGGCGGGAGTAGCGATCGATGATAACGGTTCGCGCTTCCTCTTCCTCTGGCTCTTCCTGCGATCGCCGCGGGATTCCTCCACGAATTCGTCCTCGCACACCCGGCAGTTCCTCACGAACATCGCGCGGTACTGCGTCACGTAGATTTCGTGCCTGGCCAGTGGGAAATCCTTAGAAATATCGAAATCTCTCTTGTCTCTCGGATCGAAATTCTCACTCACCTCTGGCAATCCAGGCATAGCGTCGTGAAGCAAGCCGGGCAGCTGAGAATCGCGTCGGACTTCCGCCCCTGCCGCTGCGCCGTGGCCCATTTCTCGTCGCGATCGTCGATCAGTGGATCATACAGCTCGCCGGGCGTCGCATCCTCCTCGATTCCTGGACAGAGGAGGCGATCTAGCGCGGGAAAATCCACGATCAAAGCAGCGAACCTGACGATTCTCCCTCCTCCATAGCCATCAAAAGCCCTAAACCGCTTAAACCCTCCGAGAGAATGACACGCGTCCCCTCTTGTTTGTAGCTATTCGATTTGAATGCGTGCGTTTTCTTCTTTGCCATGGCGCCGGGATTTTGCGCGTCTCTCTCGAGCCCTAGCGCGCCCGCAACGATTCGTCACTGGCGCCGAGAGATTCTCACAGCTCCAACTATTCCCGGCAATGCGGCTCCATCGCTGGTAGGAATCCATGGCATTTCATCGATTTGATTGTGTCTAGGTCACTAAGCGTGGATTCTCGCAGAGAAGGAATGCGAACACTCCTCTAGTGTTATATGGTCGGTAAGATCATTCTAGTCTCTAGAGAATCGCTTAGCAAGAAATCTTTCTGTTTTTGTTTGTTCTTGCAGCAACCAGGCTCTCTACTTTGAGGACACTGTTGCATTGCATGCCAAAAGACACACAAGGTAAAACAAAGTTTTCTCTCATTTTTTTTTCTTGTTCTTTCTTTGAGCTGTGATCTTCCTTCTTTTTACATTTCTTAAGCTTTTCGATACGCAGATGATCACAATGAATCGACAGAACAAAGCATTGGAATTGTTGCCGAGAAGCTCGTGGAAGCTGCTGCTATTTCAGTCTCCACTGTTGGCGAGATCGAGATCGAGGACGTTCCAGTCACGAAGCCAGTCATAGAAAAGGAGGCGGCCATTAAGACAGTCGTATTTTGGGTGAGTGACAAAAGAAACCAAAAACAAAAGCACAACTTTCGGAAATTTTGTTTACTAGGTGACTGCTGCAGCCGCTTTTGGAGCATTTGTTGGTGTCACGGAAGGATCAACAAAAGCGTCCGAGTTTTTTGCGGGGTATTTTCTTCTAAAATTTCCTGTGCTTGTGTTGTTTAACTTCAATGGTGCAGATATCTCTTGGAGCAAAGCCTCTCGGTCGACAACCTCTTCGTTTTTGTTCTTATTTTCAACTATTTTCAAGTACCACTTCAGTATCAGGTGCGCAGAGTATGAAGTTTAGCGTCCTCACTGGCGAAATGTTCTACTTAGAGTCGCGTTCTCACGTATGGAATAGCTGGAGCTATTGTTTTTCGGGCTACCATGATTCTTCTCGGCGTTGCTACTCTAGAGGCACGTACTGAATGTTTGTTTCTTTTTTCTTATAGCGTTGGTTGTGGTCACAGAGATTTGAAGTTGTCAACCTCTTGCTTGCGGCCATACTCCTCTTTTCCTCTTATAAGGTTTGTGTCTGGTTTCACAAGGCTTCTCTTAACTGCATAACTTCAGCTGCTTACAGGCTCGGACGAAGAAAACGATTTTTCTGAGAACTATATTGTGAATACATGCAAGCGCTTTATTCCCGTGACCCGTGAGTTCTCGCGAATTATGCTCGTAGAATCTAACGTTGCTCTTTCTAGCCGATTACGACGGGCAAAAATTCTTCACTACGATTGATGGCGTCAGAATGGTTCGAAGTTTCTAGTTTCGGAATGAAGCTAACGCATTAAGTCTTTGTAGGCGACACCGCTGCTTCTCACGCTGGCCGTGATTGAGCTAAGCGACATTGCTTTCGCCGTAAGTAGCGCACCTAGTTTTGGATGCTTGAAAGTTCACTCCAGTGTTCTTTCCACAGGTGGACTCGATTCCAGCAGTGTTTGGCGTCACCAGAGATCCCTTCATTGTCTTCTCCTCCAACCTCTTCGCCATTCTTGGTAGATCCTTGAAATCCAGTGTGAAGACTTGACATCATCTTCTGTGCAGGATTAAGATCACTGTACACATTGATTTCGAGCAGTATGGCCGAGCTCGAATACTTGCAAGTAAGAACTTCTTTAAGATGATGCTTCACGGTTTAGGTGCTCACATCTCTTGTACCATCCAGCCTGCCGTAGCTGCCATCCTGGGCTTCATTGGAGCGAAGATGGTGCTAGATTTCTTTGGTAAGCCACGTTTGATCTTAGCTTTTGTGATTTTTATTTCTTTGATCACAGGTCTTCACGTACCAACAGAGGTATCTCTAGGCATTGTAGCAACCACACTCGGCGCTGGAGTGTCTCTCAGCCTTCTTCGCCCACACGACGACGAGCAGAACGACTGATCCTTGTAGCTGCGGCATATTCGTTTTTGAGTGCCGAATATTCGCTTTTACAAGCCCTAAAAGGCAACGGCACATTATTCGAGCAAAGTGCCTTCTAGAGGAAGCTAACGGGGTATATTCTCGTTTGCCGTGCCGCATATTCTTTTCCACGAGCCCTAAATTTCTTTGCTCCTCTTCGCTGCGATCATGGCGTCAGGTACTGTGCTTCTCTCTCTTCTCTCGCTTTGCTTCACAGAGTTTCTGATTGCGATCGTCCTCCAGCTGCCCAGAAGCGCCGGATTCCCGATGTAGGTTTCGTTCTCCTCTTCTTTCTGGTCGGTGGTTTTGATCGAGTGCGTTTCACAGAGCTTGCGCCTTGGCGGCGATAGCGACGACGAGGTGGACGATAAGCGGCTCAAGGTTGAAGATGAAAAGAAAGCTCCAGCGGAGGAGAAAAAGAAATCTCCAGTGGAGGAGAAAGTGAAATCTCCAGCGGAGGAGAAGAAGAAATCTCCAGCGGAAGAAGAAAAGCAAGCTCCAGCGGAGGAGGAGAAGAAAGAGCCAGAGGATGAGAGTCGACTCAAGGTTTGGCCACTTGTTTCTTTTTTCTCTAGTCTGAGATTTGCGATTTCTCTGCTAGACAACGCTCGATGTGGCCACTTTCAAGTGCTGCATTTGCTTGGAGATCTGGCACGATGTGGTGTGCGTATCACCCTGTCAGCACAACTTCTGGTAAGTTTTCGAGCTCGTTCTCGCGAGTTTAGTTTCTCCTCATTGTTGTTCTTCTTTCTTCTTTGCAGTAATGCGTGCTTCTCGGAGTGGTACAAGACCTCTCAAGCCAGAGGACAGGGCGGGTGTAAGTGTCCGCAGTGCCGCGGTGATATCGTCTACGCCTGTAAGAACCATATGATGGCTAGCTTGGTTGAGGACTTGTTAAGCAACAATCCTTCTCTCAAGCGCTCGCCGGAGGTGATTGAGAAGATGGACAAAGTTTCTGTGGTCACCTCGAGCTTTGTAAGGATTTCTCTCTTCTTTCCTTTTTTTTTCTACTTTGGCTCACTTCTTTGGACAGATGAAACTAAACAATCCAAAACCGATTACCATGAGCAACTTCCGCGCAAACTTGAGCAGCATGCGACCGGTTGGCAGCAACTTACGCACAACGCTGAGCAGCGTTCCGGTTGTGCCATCCTTCCCATCTCAACGAGAAGGCGAGGACGATGAGGATGAGGGGGAGAGCATTCACGAATCAGAGGCCGATAGTCGTGACGGTGATGCCGACCGTGATTATGAAAGTGAAGGTGGTGAAGATGATGAGGAGCGGACTTCCTGTCGACAATGCAACTGTAAGCTTTTCTTTGTCTCTGATTTCCCACTCTTGTTTTGCTTCTTTGTAGCGAACAGCAGCGCATTCCAATGTCAACCTGGTAGTACGCATTTAACCTGTGACAATTGCGGTTGGGAAATGCCAGAGAGAACGGATCTTAGTGTTCCGCAAAGATGTAATCTACTGCTTGTCATTGTGCTTCTGACTCTTAGCTTTTTCTTTTCTCAGGTGCTGCCTGCAGAGTTATATGTTGCGATGCTTATTGGCGCTCTCAGAACCTTCCCTCGGACTCTGGCGAGATCGGATGCCCAAGCGAAAGACTGCTACCTGTAAGTCGTGTTCGTTATGATCATCGTCTGAAGTTTCTCTTTATTTTAGATGAACGAGCGGCAAATAAGTTCCATTCCCTGTGGAACGCACAAGTCCAATACAGTCGAGCAAGAGGTCATTTCCATTTTCTCCATTCCTATACTTCTGTTTTCTTGACTTTGATCTTGCTGTGCAGTTTACAAACCAATACATATCTCAGCATGGGCTCACCGTCGAAGGTGTTGTGAGGGATTGGATGCAGAAGGTGGATCGGTCTGAGCTTGGTATGTTTGTGTAATATACTTCGTTTTGTCAACCATTATTTTGGTTCTTTCAGCCCTCCCAGACATGCAAGGAATAACGTCAACCTCGGCAATCTGCAAGTAAGATTCTAATGCTCTACTTCTCTTGACAGGCTCTGATGAACTGTGCATTTGCAGTGACTGTGCTGACAAAGTCATTGGGCACTTGTTAGACAAGTTTAGGATGTCCATCCCGAAGACGGTGAGCTTTTTAAGCTTGTAGTTTTGAGATGTATATTGCGTTTTTCTTTTGTTCACCAGGAAATGCCCCCTGAGGCCGCGAGAAGGGATGATTGCTGGTACGGACTTGCGTGCAGAACTCAAACGCATAGCACACACCATGCCAAGAAGCTGAACCACGTCTGTGAACCGACCTCTAGAAATGTTGTCTTACGCTAAGGATTGGATATAGATATTTGATTGTAATTTATAAGCAGTCTTCACTGCAGGCAATGACATGCTTCTCCTTCTACGGACACAAGAGATTATCAAAATGGAGCAAAGCTTCAACCTGCAAAAAGCTTTTGCTGAGTACAAGAGTGTCATAATCCCGAAATATTGACCGTATTTTACTCCTGTCTTACAGCTTGGTGTGTTTACAAAACCTTTTTGGGACTTTTTTGAAGCTTCTAGTCATGAAAGCAAAGTGCTTGGAACAAGGGTGAGCGAGATATATATATATGGGAGCTTGAGGGATGCTTGATAGGATCATGTATATAGTTTTGTTTCATGGATAATTTGGTTATGGAGTTCTTTGACGAAAAAGGAAGTCGGCTACTCTAAAACAGGCGTAAAAGGCACAGTGCTGCCTTCACCTTGTATTGATCCAGATTGTGCACTGGGGGATTATAATTCCACGTCGGATTCCCAGCCACGTCAGCGCTGTCCACGTCCTATGCCACGTGGCACGCCTATCCGGCATTTCCTTAAAAAAGAGAATTTGCCTCCAAATCTCGTCTCGCCTCCATAAATCCATCTCATCGTGTTACAAGATATGAAATCTCTCTCTGCGGCCAATTCGTAAATCCTCCTCACCCGGGCCTAAGCCGCCAAAGATACGAATATAATTTCTCTCTCGCTTGAGCTGGTTGGGCTTTCTGATCTGGCCGAAAATCTCCAGCGCGTCCTCGAGGCCCATACATTTGCAAGGGAGCGATCGAGATGCGACGATCGAGGCATGTAGACCTGAAAGTTCGGCCATTTAGCTGAAACCAAACGCTAACGAATTCAGCTGAAACTATACGAGTCCGTACAAGGAGAATAGATCCACGCAGGAGGGCAACTACACAGAATCAAATCACAGGTTGGCCGATAAAAACCCCAATATTCTGGTGTTCTTGGATGGATTTCTTGTTTAGTTTTCTTGCTACTAGTGATATGTTGATTTGGTTATTTGCTAAGATGGTGGTGGATGCGATCTCTTCAACCTTGTTCTTCAACAATAGTTTCGTTCTTTTGCTTGATGGAGATTTATTTTTTTCTGGTTTATTTGGCAATGGACATGGCCTCTTTGTGAAATTCTTGAAAGTTGAGAACCATGTTTATGTGTTTGACAGTTTATGTATGTATCGGTTTTTTTGGACTGGTATCCATCCAAGCATGCCAAGGAGATTGAATTGCTCACGGCTGGAGGAAAAGGAGTTGGCGAACTCTATGGAATCACAGGTGGGCTGATTAAAACCCCTCCTCAAATTCTGCGTAGCCACAGAATGAACACGTAGACAATTTGGAAATCAGTGTTTCGTTTTGGCAAGGGTCCAATCTTTCTGAATCCTTTGACAATGCGGGAGGAAGATTTCTTCGAGATGGTTTTGAGCTTTGTAGACCTGGCCACTCTGTGGTCAGCCGTTTCCATCTCATGGAGGCTTGTTATTCTGGGCAGTCCATCACTTCGCCGCCGCTGGTGCCAAAACAGTGGGGACAAGGAATCCTTGCGGGTCCTGAATAGCTCCTCTTCCGAAACCCGCTGCTTCGCCTGGGCTCACTCACGGCCGATTGACAACAAGGTGGTTCCATTGTCTCCGGAACTACCTCTAGAGAGTCCTCAAGTCATTGCTTCTGCAGGTGGCTTGGTTTGCATCTCCAGCATCTGGCCTCTAATGGCGTGTTTCGCCTGTGGGTGGGGAATCCTGTTACCCAAGAGTGGATGGAACTCCCACTGCTCTACTGGGAGGTAGAAGACTGATATGGACTTGATCGATTCGGTAATGTATGTCAAAAATAATGGCTTCAAAGTCGGCCTGCACTTCACTTCCCCTCACGCCTCAGGCCACTGCTGCCACATCTACGACTCTGCAACAGGGGTGTGGTCTTCTCTCTCCAGGCTCTCTTTCTCGCCAGCTAATGTCAACATGAGAGTGCAGCTAGGGCAGAATGTTTTACTCACAAGGATGGACGACCTCACCATCCTGGGATTTTACGACTTTGACTGCCCGAGATGGCGCACTGGGGAAGTGATCCGCAGCCTAAGGATCACAACCCGCCTGGAAGTCAGGGATGGACAAGTCCTGCGCTGCGTTTTGCCGCTCCCGGGAGTGTGTGCGTCGAGGCTGTGGGAGCACAATGGCCAGCTTTACTTTGCAAGCTGTTGGGTGTATGCGGATGACAACCGCCAGGCAGGGTATGATGGCTTTGGTGTGTGGAAAGTTGACGACAATGGTGGCTTGGTTACGGTCTCCGCATTGCTCTATGACGACTTCGCTGAAGAAGTGTATGATCCCCCTTCCGATTGTTATACCCACGTAGATGGAAATCTCGTAATGTTTGCGCCATTAGGAATGGTGTTTGTTTATGACTTGAGCACAGGGCGCTGGGAAACAGAGGCACTTGAATATTCCAGGGCAGTGTTTTACCGCCCGTCCCTGAGAACACTTTTAATCGAACAGGGTTCTACGTGAGCTATTCTAGCAGTGAAGAATGAGAAAATCTACAGGTATGATCTTCTAACTCTCTCTCTCCTCTCTGAGCTAGAATGAGAAAATCTTGCAAGATGTGATCTTTTAGTCGGATATGTGTTATCTTTTTTCTTTATTCCTTTTGGCTTAAGTTAACAAGGAAGAAAAGTAGGATCTGCTTCTTTCTCTTGGATGGCGTGTGCAATTTTCATTGGAATCTTTTCAGTTAGCTTCTGGTCTCGCTTCAAGCCGGGACACTCTCTCCCGAGGTTGCGC